TAATGCATGATATTGGATTAATTCCCAAAGTTAGGGTGGTGAAAGTAGAGAAAGAATTCTCTTGTTTATTGAAAACGTTGAAGTTTGAATAGAAGAATGGAAGTTACTTATTTTGGGCTTGATGTTTTACTCTGGTGGTATAAAAAGGCTTCAAAAGATAGAAAGTGATCCTAAATCTTCTATTTCAGAAGCACACAGTGTTGTTTACATGGTTTAATGTGCTTTAGAATTAGTCCCTTTTCTTTCTTGCATGTGTCTTACAAGCTGTTCTAAATTTCATATTCAAAGTATTTGAGCTTCATATTTCCCTTGATTCAAAAAAGAGGGAACTTGTATATTTTCCCTGAAACATGTTTGGAAATTTTAGAATTGATTTGCTTTGTGCTATGTGTCCGCCTTCTGAATTGAGAAATGTTGCTATAGCAAGGATGGGCAAAATGGAGAGGAAGAGAAAGGAATGGTAGGGAGAGGGGAAAAAAGGGAGGGGGACTGACCTATGCTGTCCTATTTTTATTTTGCAAAGTAAAGGCATTACCTCTGACCTGGATTATTGCAGTGTTCTCCAGCCTGCTACAAAAGATCCATTCTCCACATACCAGTCTGAGTTATCATTTGAAAATGTGTATCAGATATTGTTTAAAATTCTTTAATGGTTTCCTCTTGCATTTAGAATAATATTCAAACTCCTTACCATAGCCTACAAGTGATCTGTCCTTCTCCAACTTCTCACTTCTCTCTCCTTAGTCTCTGCTCTACTCTGAAACATGTCAAGACGTTTCCATGTCAGGACCCTTTCACTTGACTTTCTTTTGCCTGGAACACTCTTCCTTCTGTTCTGCTCATGACTGGCTTCTCAACATTTAGGTCTCAGCTCAAAAATCCCATTGCACTCAACCCCCGTGGCCTGGGTTCATTTCCCGGTCCTGGAACCACACCACCTGTCTGTCAGTTGCCATGCTCTGGCAGTAGCTTACATAGAGAACTAGGAGGATTTACAACTATATATACAACCGTGTACTGGGGCTTTGGGGAGAAGAAAAAAAAAACGAGAAAGATTGGCAACAGGTGTTAGCTCAGGGTAAATCCTTCCCTGCAGGGGAAAAAAAAAAAATCCCATTGCAGAGAGACGTTCCTTGGCTAATTTATCCAAATAAGTCTTCCTTCCGCTCCAACCCCAGATAGCTCCCACAGTGTTGTTTGTTCTTATATCTCTTCATAGCACTTAGCACATTCTGAAACTTTTTTCATTAATAATTTGTTTACTTGAGACTTGTCCCCTTCGATGAGACCGTAAGCATCTAGAAAGCAGGGTCTTTGGGCTGGCCATGTAGGTCTTCTCATTGATTATCACAATGTCTGGCACAAATTTGATGCAAAATAAATATTTGCTGAATAGGTGAATGAGTGAAATGAAGAATTTGAGTGTGACTGGACTACTGGGCCTATGTGTGTTTTCTTGAACAAAGAGATTGTAAATTTAAAACTTCTAGAACTTTTCTGGGAAAAGTTTGCATAATGGCAGATAGGAGGAAGTTATGCTAGAAAGATAGAGCACAGGCCAAATCCTGGAGTTTCTTGAATGTCATGGTACATAGCTTCTGGAATCTCTTTTGTGGTCAGTGGTTAGCTACTGAAGATTTTTAAGTAGTCAATGTATACTTTTGAAATGCTCCTTTATTACTAGCTGTGGAGAACCATTTGTGTGTCAGAAGAGTCCACACCAGTGGACAGAGTAACTTCTGAATGTCAGCAGGGTGCTGATTTAATCAGTGTTCATTTTGTTTGCCATGCAGCATGACTGCCACATACAGTCGTGCTTCTGGGCTGGCAGGAGAAAATGTTTGTCTTAGTTCTTCACAGCCTGAGATGAAATGATCCAGTGTTTCTTGAAGGCATTTCTTCCCAGTATTTCCCCATATCTCAGTGGAGCAGTGGGCTCCCTTAAAAGTTTGATACCATCTTGTTGTCAAATCATTCCCCTTTCCTCAGTTGTTCTTTATGTTGCAATTTATTTTTCTAATGCATAGAGTTACCTTCACATTAGAGTTACTCTCTCCTGTGGTTTGTTTTATTTTGGTCTTAAAGGAAGTCCACTTGGGAGTCTATAAATGCAGTTGGCTTTTTGTTTGTTTCAATGGAGTAGTGGATAGATCCTTCCTTAGCTGGAACCTGGTTCTTACAAGGCCTCTTAGTAATCTCCATCCAACAACCCGGCATTATATGTAGCACACGTGTTCACCTGGACGTTTCCTCCCACCTCAGATCTGTGTATCTCCTTTCTAAAATGGAATACAAAGATATCAAGCTTCCAGTTAAAATAATGGCCTGTTTTATAGATAATGGCAGCCCATTCTAGTTTCCTGAAGTGATTCACAATCATTTAAAAGCCATGGCCAGTTCATGAATAAGTTGTATGGTTTAACCTTAAGTCATGGAATCTTCTTTATATTTATATTGGTGAAGATAGTATTATGTTCAATACTGGGTTATAAATGGGGAAAGCACCAAATAAGCAAAAAACCAATGTGGTCCAATTTAAGAAAAGGAACCAGTTTATCAGCATTGGCTGGCAGTGTTGAAGAGCTACTGAATCCACATTCGTTGGTGATTTCAGTATTGGAAGCTCTCAGTGTGAATGATGACTTCGGAGATGTTGTTATTAAACTTACATTCTTTTAGTATATTATAGCTTATGACGCACACTCAGGTTTAATGTACCTTTTGATTTGTGTGTAAAAGATTTACCTATCAGATTTTTTTTTTCTCTTCTTAGACATATCATAGACATCACCTCTATGTAAAGTAGGTGGAAAACAAAAAGATAAATAAGTCATGTGGTCCCTCTCCTCAGAGAGCTCTACTAGGAAAAACAAATATACTCAGGTGGATGCATATGGCAGAGAGTGATACGTGCCAGTAGAGGGAGAGAGATCAGGCAATATTGCAGTACTTGACTCTAGCTATAAGGTTGAGAAAGGATCTCTTAGAGAAGGCAGGATTTAAGCTTGGCCTTATAGGATATGTTAGATTTCAGTAAGAAAAATCCAACAGACAAAGGATCTTTAGGTCAGTGGCACAACCTGAGCAAAACAAGAAGGTAGGAACGTGAAAAACATAAATATTTATTTATGTTCCATCAATCTTAATGGCTGGTGCTATAGAACCAGAGTATCTCAGTGATAATCTGTTTTTTTCATAGCTTATAGTTTGACTCTTAACTGGAGGCAGTTCCTTCCAACCATATCTTACTATGTCCTCATAAATTATGTGTCCATGGGAGTTGTAGACTGTACCCATCATTAATGAGAGCATATTTACATCCTTGAAACTGACAGGTCATTTATAAATTGTATTCTATTGTTTATCTTTTTAGGGTTTTAGTGATTTCTGAAGCACATTCATGTATATCACACAATTAAATCCTTCCAAAACTCTATGTGGTAGATGGTGGCATGGGGATTTTGTGAGCATTTCTTCTTAAAAGAGAACTGAGACCCACGTCTAAATGACTTTTTTCAGGTCCACTTGGCTAATAAGTGTAGACACACACCCAATTTAGAACCTCTTCTTTTTTCCTCTATACCTAAATACTTGACACTATGTAGATGTCTGTACAATTTGTATTTATCTGTGTTGGTGTGTGAGAAATTGGGAAAATTTAAATTAAGAAAGAAACAAGGTCCAAAATTAGTGATTATGATAGCCAAAATAATTCTGGTAGCACATAATTAAGAAAGATAAAAGAGGCGAGGAAAGCTGATTTCAGGCAAGATTTAATGGAAGGAAGGCCAATAGCTAAGAGTATGTAAATTAAAGGGAAAAAGGAAAAGTTTTACTATTATTAGACAAATTTAAGGATGTCAGGTCCTAAAATAGGGCAGTTTATGTTTTCTGTGGTAAGAGCTAAGATTCTTTATATACCAGGAGATGGCAGTGACTGAGGACTTGGGAACCTACTACTTCTTTCTATTTCTTACTAATACTTGAATGGCCAGACAGTCAAAAGCAGACTCACTTGAATCTCATATGCCATCTCATGATTTTTCACTTGTTCAATGAGTTTTCATATCTTCATACTTCAAAATAGATCAAACATAATTTGGATTTCACCATGAAAAAGACTACTAATATGAATATTCATTTTTCTGATATGGGGCAAATAGATCTGTCTATTAGACATTTCCATGACTAAAGCAGAGGGAAAAATGTCTTAAATTGAATAAATTTAATTCAATTTTGTTAAAAAATGCATCGTTGCATGTTACATGGAGAGCAGTGTATTAAGTGGTTTAGGAGGAGATTGATGGTGCCTCCACCATCAATGGAGTGGTGTCTATGTAGTGGTTATTAAAAATCCTTCCTTTCGTATTAATGAAAATCAAAGTTGTAAGTTTGGAATCAAATACCTCAATCAAAGGAGTATGGTAGACCATTTTATGTGCTGTATATAGCATGTCTTATGCATTGGAATAATTTACTCCTTTTAACTTTGTTTTCTTTACATTCTAAAACCTGATAACAAATTTGGTGGAGTGGGAGGTATATCCAATCACATCGTTTGGAAAACCATAGGTTTATTTATCGTCCCATTGTCCAGATTAAATGCCAAAGGAACAAAATGAAGAGAAAATAAAAGACAAAAATGTTGAAAATGTGAATTAGAGGTGACACAGCATTGGCAGGTTTTATTTTGATTAATCATAAAACAAACAGAAGCATATAGATTCAATTTCCCAGAAAACACAGATGGCTTAGAAAAGAGGGGAAAGAGAATAAACTTGGAACAAAGTACATTTATCCATTTCCACCAAAGCCAAAATATCCGCATAGCATTTTAGGAGCACTGTCTATTAACCTTCCGGCCGTTAGTATGGAGGTTGAGTTTAGTGAATGTGCCCTGGAATCCGGCCCTACCACTTTCAAGCTGTAAGACCTGTAAGACTAGTACTGAGCCTAGTTTGGAAATACTGCTTTCATTTGGTCCTTTTTTTTCTCCATAGCTTAACCAGATGGAAAAGGCCATGGAAGCAGCCCATACATTTTTCATGGCCAACCCTGAGCACATGGAAATGCAGCAGAACATTGAGAATTACAGAACCATGGCCAGCGTTGAAGCACTCCAATTGGTTGATCGAGAAGCCAGATCACACCTGGTGAGCTCTGGGAATCCTTGCCCCAACCATAAGGAGCTAAGTGCTGCTAAGTTTAATTTGAGTCAAAGCAGATTCCTGTGAATAGATATCTCAAATTGATTCCTGATTTCCAATACAATAACATTTTTATACTTTCAGAGTTCTCAGATAAAATACTGTAATTATCAGGGTTGAAAAAATTGAAATTGAGAGAAAATGAAAATTAAGTTAGAAAATCAGCATGATATGGTGAGAAATAGAACATGATATAAATATGTATAACCCTTTCTAAGCCTCAACCTATCCCCACCCTTTAATTTTACACACAGGAGTTGAAGCCAATGTGAATTGCTCACGGTCAGACTGTGGTTTCCCAGCTCCCAGCCCAGTGGTTGATTTTTCCACTGTACCTGTACTTTTCACATTCTGATTTTTATTTATTTATTTATTTTTTGCTAAGGAAGATTCACCCTGAGCTAACATCCACCGCCAATCTTCCTTCTTTTATTGCTGGAAGAAGATTAGCCCTGAGCTGACATCTGTGCCAGTCTTCCACTATTGTATATATGGGTCGCCACCACAGCATCGCTGGTGAATGGTGTAGGTCCATGCCTGGGATCTGAACCCACGAACCCAGGCTGCCGAAGTGGAGCACGCCGAACTTAACCATTACGCCACTGGGCTGGCTCCTTCAAATTCTGATTTTTAAAAGCTACGTAATTATTCATTTAAATGAAGCCTTACTTGAAATTACAATATGTTGAAGGGGCTTCTTTTTCAACCGAAGATGTCACCATTCTCAATGTGTGGCCTCCAAGATGATTAAGAAAAGGATGAGAAAGGAAGATTTTAGATGGAAGGCTTTTTTTTTTTTTTTCCAATTGGGCCAGGACTGGCAATGGATGTCACGTCCACCCGCATCAGCCTTCCTGCACTTCGTTGCATGGCCCTACCTACATTCAAAGGGGTTTGAAAAAACAGTCTTGAGTGTGCTCAGGAAGAAAATGAAATTGATGCCGCAGCAGTTGGCTTGCTCAGTAAGTCCCTTCTCATCTACAATTAGTTGAAGCCAGGGAAGTTACACTTGATCTCCCAGAGCAATCCTTCTTTATCCTTCCACAGCACAAGAGTCTAATACCTCACCTACCTAAATGATCCTGAGCCTGCCAAATCCTGCTATTCAAGCGCCCCTGGAGTGCTCTTTGAAAAAACAATGTTTTTTCTGTTTCCTTGCAGGAGAGTTACAGTGCAGGAGTTAAACATTATGAGGCTGATGATTTTGAGCTAGCTATCAAGTACTTTGAACAAGCTTTAAGAGAATATTTCAGTGAAGATATGGAGTGCAGAGTCCTGTGTGAGGGGCCTCAGAGATTTGAAGAGTATGAGTATTTAGGGTATAAAGCTGGTCTCTATGAAGCCATTGCAGGTAAAGTTTATTTTTTCCTTTTATTTATTTCCTGATTATAGAAATACTACATGCAATCTGTAAAAATATTCCAAGAATATAGAAGTATATATTGTAAAAAGTGAAAGAGTCTCATGTCTCTATCTCATCCTATCTCAAATAGACAAATTTACCTAGTTTAAATTTTGGTGAGTATGCTCCCAAACTTTTTCAGATGCATATGAAAACATTTATCTATTTATTTATAATTATTATTTTGTTTTTATAAAAATAAGACAATACTATAAATACTGATTTTCAGCATTTTTTTAAATTTTATGCTTAACTATATATTGTGGACTTCTCATGTAAGTATGCGTATATCCACCTTATTATATCTAATGGCTGTGTAATGTTCCATTATATGGAGCAAGCATACTTCATTTGACCAGTTCTTTACTGATGAAAATTAAAGAAGTTGCAATTTTTTATTATAAAAAATGTAGTAGTAAATACTTTTGTATAGTCTTCTTTAATTACTTACAAGAGCATTTTATTATATATGGGAATTTAATATATTACAAAGCAGCATTTAAAATAGTAGATAATGGGTGCCAGCCCCTGTTGCCTAGTGGTTAAGTTTGGTGCACTCCGCTTCGGCGGCCCAGGTTCGGTTCCCAGGAACGGACCTACACCACTCATCCATGAGTGGCCATGCTGTGATGGCTCACATACAAAATAGAGGAATATTGGCAACAGATGTGAGCTCAGGGCAAATCTTCCGCAGCAAAAAGAATTAAAAATAAAATGAAATAGTAGATAATGTGCATTGTACATTAATTGGGGAGATTGGCTATTAACTATTTATGGTCAAAAATGAGTTCTCTGCTGCATATGAAAAAATACACAAAAATCAATTCTATTTACTTAATAATATAAGAGTGAAAAATAAAACTGTTAGAAGAAAATGCAAGAGAATTTTTACATAATAGTAGGAGAGGAAAAGCTCTTCTTAGCATGACAAAAGACAAGAAATATGAAAAAAAAGATAGGCTTTACATAAGATTTGTAAATGCAAAAGACACACTAAATCAAGCTGATTTACATATGACAAGTGGAAAAGCAAAGTATTTACAGGCAAACAGTTAATATCCTTAATATTTAAACAGAACCTGTAAATTATTATTATTAGTAGTAATTTATTTCTTATTTATTGGTAGTAATAATAATAAGCAAAATTTATTTAGCAATTACAATATACAAAGCATTTTACATATTTATATCTCTTTTAATCCTCTAAACAACTCCTTGTAGGTTGTAGGCCCATACTATTAAGGTCTACACAATTGAAAACTGGGCAAAGGGTAATTTATTCAATAAGTGGTTAATAAATATTTGTTGAGCGCATATTGTGTTCCAAGTTATAAATATATGAAAAACAATGTTCAACTTCACATATACTCATAGAAATGCAAATCAATGAAGTCAATTTGCCCTCGCAAACTTGCAATGTTTTCTGTCTCCATGAAAAGCATCACTCACCTAGTGGCTCAAACCAAATCCCAAGAAGTTATCTTTCAATCCAACATTTCCTTCAATTCCTATTCTCCTCTGATTTGCTACCAGACTTTGACAGATGCTGCCTCCGAACAGCACTTAAGATTTCCTGGTTGTCTCCACTCCTTTTGCTACTACCCTGGTTCAAATCAACAGTATATTTTAACTAACCACTGTGATAGCCTCCTTGCTGGTCCTCATGTCCTGATCAGGTTTTACTCGTAGGCAGACAGAACAGTCTTCTAAAAAAATGAAAATCTGCTCACAGACATGCTGAAAACCCCCCAATGGATTCCATTGCACTTGGAATAAAACCCAACAGTTCTAACAAGGACTTTCATGGTTGTGCACTTATGTATGTTTTTATCCTCTCTCTTTTTTCTGTCTCTTTGATTCCTTCCTAACAGTCTTCTTTTAATTCCTTGGATATGCCATGCTCATTTCCACTTACAGACCATGAAAATGTTGTTCTCCTCTATCACTTGGCTAATGCCCTCTCTTGTTACGGAGTTAATCCTCGGGCCCTAAGTATAGTCACTGGCCAATAGTAGGTGCTTAGTAAATAGTTGTTAAACGAATGAGTTGGATGAATGAATGCAGGAAGGAGATAATGCATCCATCAATCACACTGCAGAGATTAAAAATGTTAATAATACTCCATGTTTGTAAAAATGTAGGTCATAAATTATTAAGGTCTTTTAGGGGGACAATTAAGGAATATCTATCAAAATTTAGACTAGGAGGTAGACTGAAAATCAGTTTGTGATATGACCTATTTGCCACACACTCAATTATCCAAAATCAACTCAGTTTACCTAAAATCAATATAAATATCTGAACTATTGAAAATTTTTTCCCCAAAGGTTTTGTTTTGCTGAGCCTCTGCGAGAGCCATTTGCCTGCATTTTTGTGAGCACTGCTTATTTAAATGTCAGTTTTATCTGTGTTTCACATTTCAATTGCTGAGTATCTTTTTACATTTAATCTTTTGTTTGGGAATGGGCAGGCTTTTCCTTTATTATAGTTTACTATCCTGTGGGTTTCTAAGGGTATGTGCCCTGCCTCTACCCCCACGTTACCTCTGCACCTGCCTCTACCAGCTTTGGCAGATGTTCTAAATCTGGTTTAGAAAAATTGACTGACAGATTCTCAGAGATTAACATTTAGTGATTTGCTTGAGGTCACCACAGCATGTTGGTGGCTGGAAAAGAATAGAGGTCTCCTAACTCAGGCTCTTAATACTTAACACAACCACCACCACCATCATCCCTACTTCCAGTTAAGAAAAGTGATTAAAAAAGTCATAATCCCTCAAGTTCAACCAAATATTATATATTACAAACATATGGTAAATCTTCTTGGGAATTTGAAGCATACCCAATTTATTATGACAAGGAAAGTTTAAAAAGTATTCCTACACAAGTGTCTTGGATCTCCAACTTATTAAAACATATTAATTGTGCAATAACATTTAATATAGAAATGAGGCAGAGAATACAGCTAATAAAAAGTAATGTTATAACTCTAAGTATGTAAATTCTTGTCTGGTTCAATATTGTCCTAAATTAGGAGTAAAACTGGCTTTTAAAATATGGAATGTGTTTAGAAAGCCAGAATATTTGAATTTCAGAGTTGGAAGAACATTAAAAATTGGAGAAAAATACAAATGGCTTCTGAATGCAGCTATTTATTATCAGCCATGCTTGTTAAAGTCCTACATGATACCATTTTGTCACTCTTATTTTGCTGCTATTTATATCTTGCTTTGAAAAATACTTTCATTCAGATTTTGGGTTCTTACTGGGTGTGTTTCCCACCTTTCCTTTTGCTTATCATTTGGAATTAGGTGGAGTGTACATTAGAAGGTAAAGAGGAATGCAAATGGCCAGCTGACTAGGAGAAAACAGTTGAGAGTTCTTTCTTGTTTTCTTAGGAAATAAAACAGCTAGCTATTTATTTCTAAACATGCCAATCAAATAAGCAGAACCCATTCTTCCTTTCACATCCTCCAAGTGGAGTTAAGAACCAATGGACTGTAGGGATCCTATTAGCTGTACTATATTGGATCGAGTTAGCCACTTTATGCGAAAACTGGCACATTTTCCTACACAAGAGAAAAGGTACATTTCCTTCCTGTTGTGTTTTGGGGGTCCCTCTTCAAGGTCATCGAGATAAGAGCCAAACTCTGCCTAACAGAGAACCTTTTGAAAGGAGGCAGTTGTGGTAAATTAAAATGGACAGTCATGAAGTCAGATGGTTTTGTCATCATTCTCAGAGAACCTGCTCTATACAAGCATAAATGAACTCTTCTCTTTGTGGAAAAGACTACCTCCATCTTCATTGTAAAAAGCAAAGTTGGGGCAAAATGTAGGAAGTGTTTTCTTCTCTGGGACATTAGCCACTTGTGTTTCCTCGGCTCATGCTTGGATGAGATAGAGCCCAGAGCTAAAGAGATTATGAAAGCCCCTACACTTCAGGGTCCTTGCCTGTTTGCAAGTGAGAAGAATGGGAGCAGAGAAAGGGAATAAAGAGAAAGAGGCAAAGTGCTTATTCACATTCTTTAACTTTCATGCTTCTCCTATTTTACCAGTCCCCACAGTACTAGGATTTACAATCTCCAGGTGATGGACTAATTTGGAACTGGGTAGAATAGGTTCCTGATCAATAGATGTAAAGGAATATTGTTTTTATTTCTCCTTTAGGAAAAGTTGCTTGAAAATGTTAACAAGGAAAAAGAGCATTCTCGCTTTACTTCTCTGCATGAACTCCCCATGTACAGGCAGTTCCTTTCTCTCCACTGGTCCTTAACAGAACCAGACCTCAACTTCTGATCCTGACTCCAGGACACTTCCGGCCATCTAAAGTATCCAAAGAGGGGCCCAAAGTTGTTAAATAAGAAAGTCGCCTATTCAGCTGGTCATGGGCAGGGTGAGTTGTCACTTTCAGGAAAGATAGAACAAAGGATACACAGAAGGGAAGAGTGCAGTACAGAGAAAACACCAGGAGCCAGAAGATTTGGCATCTACTGTTCATTACTCTACTGATCACTGATTAGGAGGCCTTGGCTTGTCACTTTGTTTCTTTGTGAAAAGGTTTTCTGGTCATGAAGTGAGGATATTAATGATATTGCTCTCAGACTGTGGTGAGGTGAGGAATGCCTTGTGTAACCGTGGCTCTGACTTGAAGGTTGGACGTTTGGCAGACTGGAAGGGCCCACTTCTCAGCTCTTGTCTTCCAGATCACTACATGCAGGTGCTGGTTTGTCAGCATGAATGCGTGAGGGAACTTGCCACCCGCCCTGGCCGCCTCTCACCGATTGAGAACTTTCTTCCCCTGCATTATGACTACCTACAGTTTGCCTACTATCGAGGTAAAGCGTGAATTATCCTTGAAGACCATTAGGGGAGGCGGGTGTTGCTTGATATTACAGACATTGCATGTTTGTGATTTCATCCTCTGTATTCCTCAGTTTACCATGGAAGCAATGGGGATTTATGCATTTTCTGTCTCATCTCACGTCACTTCAGCTCAGGATAAAAAGAGCAGAAATGAAACTACAAGTGGGCAAATGCTGTGATAATGTCCTGAACGTTACACTAGACTGACATTTTATATGATTTTTAAATTTAATTTTTTTCAACTTAATATTAAAACGTAATATATCTACAGGTCCAAAGATCAAATATCACAAAAACCTCCCTCTCCTCCTCTTCCCCACAACCCAATTTCATTCCCCACAACCAAGTTTCTTATTTATCCTTCCAAATTTTTATATAGAAACAACACACACTCAAACTCTGACTTATTTCCCCCTCTTATACACATAAGATAACATGTTATTTACACTATTCTCTATATTGTTTTCTTCACTTAATAACACATATCAGATTTTTTTTTAGTAGGTTGGCCTATGAAATTACCATTTGCTTATGTCAGAATTGGTCAAATTTTGGCAATTTTATATAGTTCAACCTAATTGTATCAGTACATAGAGCTCTTCCTCACTAATTTTTCTTTATATCTGCCTGTCATTTGTACTATAATTTATTTCATGTGTCTCCTTACTGATTGGGCATTGTCTTGTTTTGTAATCTTTTGCTATTGCAATCAATGATCAAATGAATAACATTTTATATATGTCCTTTCACACCTGTACATAAATATCTACAGGGTGAATTTCTAGAAGTACAATTGCTGCGTCAAGTGGCTTATTCATTTGTAGTTTATCATGTTGCCAAATTTTTCTCCAGAAGGAGTACATTTTTTATTGCTCATCAATAAAATATATTATCAAATTTATTCCCCAGTCCATTAGGTAAAAGCTGATATCTCCGTATAGTTTTAATTTCCATTTATCTTATTGAGAAAGAGAGAGATTGAGCATCTTTTCTTATGTTTAAAAACAATTAATAGAATTTGGATTGCTAAAATTGGTCTTAGACATCGTGTTGTCAAATACAGTACAGAAATAGAAATTAAATCCTAAAATTCTGTTCTGTTTATCTGTATTAAATATTATGTTGTCAACAAACATCTTCAAGTAGGAACTTTTGATAATTTATTGAAAACACCTAGCACCATAGCCGACCAAAGGTGGTACCTTTGAAATACCTGAAATTGTGCCCTTCCTTTTATCTGCAGCTATTTCTGCTTACTCCGCTCCGGCTCACCTTATCTTCCCTCTTATTGACTTTTTTTTTTTAATTTTTATTTATTTATTTATTTTCCCCCAAAGCCCCAGTAGATAGTTGTATGTCATAGCTGCACATCCTTCTAGTTGCTGTATGTGGGACGTGGCCTCAGCATGGCCGGAGAAGCGGTGCGTCGGTGCGCGCCAGGGATCCGAACCCGGGCCACCAGAAGCGGAGCATGCGCACTTAACCGCTAAGCCACGGGGCCAGCCCCTTATTGATGTTTAATGCTGACCTCTCATAGACATGTTGAAATATCTCTTAAAAATCCTTTAGGCAGACCTAGGCTGACTCTAATGTTGCAACTCCTCGGTCTTTCAGTTGGTGAATATGTGAAAGCGTTGGAGTGCGCCAAGGCCTATCTTCTCCTCCATCCGGATGATGAGGATGTCCTAGTCAATGTGGATTACTATGAGAGTCTGTTGGATGACAGCCTTGACCCAGCATCCATTGAGGCCAGAGAGGTGAGACCAATGTTCTGAGAAGAAACTCTGCATTCTGCTAGGTGCTCTGGGGAGAGAGAGACACATGCAACACGTCTCTTAAAGTTATATAACAATTTAGTACAGGTTCTAGAACTCAGTTCTTTCCAACTTTATTATTTTTTGTTTGCTTATTGTGGTAACATTGGTTTATAACATTGTATAAATTTCAGGTGTACATCATTATACTTCTGTTTCTGCATGGATTACATCATGTTCTCATGTTCTCCAACTTTAATTATTAATGCCAGAAGTATATTTTTCTCATATGGGCTAGCTTGTGAAATTCTTGTGAGATGGAGACATTTTTTGCAGCTCTGAATTTTTTTAAGCTCATTTGTTATGGCCTAATGAAAAATATTTCCACTTGAACATTTGTCATATCTCTTAACTGTTATTTAAATATATATTTCCTTTCCTTTTTTTCTGTAGGATTTGGCAATGTTTGTGAAGCGTCATAAACTGGAATCGGAACTAATAAAATCAGCTGCAGAGGGTCTGGGATTTTCATACACTGAGCCGGTAAGAGGAAAGAGGAAATGTTTTTCAAAAGAACTATTCAATGGACTTCTTATTTTTTATTTTATTCCCCAGCCCCATTTGTGAAGATTCTAATCACCTGCCTTGGGTTAACAAAAACCCGGGAAGGGGGAACATGTTTACTCTATATATGTGATGAACTTTAAAAGGCTTTAATCGATTTCCATATCACTGAGGTCCAAAGTCAAGGGCAAATACATTTGGATAGAAGAGAAGTATTTTATACATGATACATTTGCCTCAGGATTGTTTTATTTCCTAAATGCTGGATGCAACATTTTGTATTTTCTCTTAAACATTTCAAACATTAAAAAGACTTCAAAAAGAACAAAATCAATCACAGTTTTACTACCCATCACGGTGACTTTTCTCTAGTTGTCTCTGTTGTCTTTTAATCATTCTTCACATGAAGACATACCTTTTGCAGAATGAGTACTATGGTTTGGATAGACTTCTGTTCTGATTTTTATTTAAAGTATCATAAGCAATTTCTATATTTTTATAGCTTTTGGAATTATTTTTAGCTGTATCTGTGGAGTTGATGCTCAATAAATAACTCTTCTCCTGCTGCTGAACATTTATTTTCTGATTTTTTATCATACTTAATGCATTAAGCATTTTTCTCTCTCTTGAACTATATCCTTAAAATAAACTCCTAAGAGTGGGATTACTCTGCCATCAAAGGATATGAGAAGTTTTAAAGTTCTTGAAATCACTTTTCTAAGAGAGTTTTCTGACACGTTTACTGCTCCTAGCAATGCATAAAAGTACAGTTTACCACAAACATCTCAACAATGAGAAATAACATTTTTAAATCATTAATATTACTCATATATTATATACAAAATGGTACATCATTGTTATTTTAATTTGTATTCCTTTGACAGCCAGCAAAAATGAACTTTTCACATGTGATTATTATTGTTTTTCCTCTCATCTGAATTATCTGGACATGACTTTTGTTAGTTCATCTGTTGGTTACTGTATAAGTTCTTTATATAACATACATATCGTATGTTTATAAAAAGCACTATTTGTAATAGATCCT